CCGCCCAACAGAAACCAACAGAACAACCAAAACCACGCCGGTTCATCAGGTGAGTGGCCATTTCGAATGCTTCTTGTCAATGTGCGAAAATCAATCAAGAATTTGATATTGAAATTTACAGTCTACTGTTTCTTTCTCGCCCAAATAGTACGGATACTATGACAAGCAGTCGTTGAGAGTTTGGTTGAACAAAGACATGGATATGTTTTTCCATGCACTTCGGATCTTCTTTCGTCTACTGCCGCGGTAGTATAGGGTACATCCATATATCTTTCTCTTCATAAAGTAGTGGCGACTCATCTCACTGGCGTAAAGGGGTCATAATTTATTAATAGGATTCACTGAAAAAAGAGGGTATATTTATGTACTTCTATTTTTTACATTTTAGAATGCACTGGTTTTTCAATAGAAGAGTCATGATCTAGTAGCCAGTTCTGCTGAGCAAAATTTACATGGATGGAAAGAACAATAATACAACCAATTAATAATCCCATATTTGCTCTCATAAAATACTTTTCCGTCGACCTCGTATTAACGACTAAGTTTAATGTATATGAAATCGTTCATTAATGACCCCTATTAATGAACGATTTGTCTATTAATACACGATTGTTTTATAGGCAACCAAACATACACCACGTGCATTCATTGTTTATGCTATAACTTACGGAATCTGCATTTAAATCGAAAATATGGATTTCATCGACGATTTTCTATTAACGGGTTCGCCTTTCCAAGTTTCTGACACGATTTTAATCCCTGTTTTCTAACACAAGGAATTTATTTCCTATGTTGATCATTTAGACAAATGTCAAATGACACTTATGTCAGTAACAAGACTACTGGGTGATTCTTAGCAGTTTTCGGATGGATGATGAATTCGCGAAACAAGTTTTCTTCATTGCAGGAAAAATGAGAAATATAGTCGACGGAAAAATGTTGTAACCAACTTGTATATTAAAAGGCGATTAATGATCTCGAACATTAACGCACTCGCTTCGCTCGCACGTTAAAATATCTCGATCATTAATCGCCCTCATTAATACACTAGTTGGTTAAATAACTATTTCCGTCGACCTCCTATTAACGATGTTCATGAAATCGTTCATTAATGACCACTATTAACGATCAATTTGTCTATTAATGCACGATTGTTTTATAGGCAACCAAACATACACCGCGTGCATTCATTGTTTATAACTTACGGATTCTGCATTTAAATCGAAATAGTTATTTAACCAACTAGTGTATCATTAATCGCCTTTCAATATACAAGTTGATTACAAAATTTTTCCGTCGACAATATTTCTCATTTCTCCTGCAATGAAGAAAACTTGGTTCGCGAATTCATCATTCATCCGGAAACTGCTAAGATTCATCCAGTTGCCTTGTTACTGACATTAGTGACATTTGACATTTGTCGAGATGATCAACATAGAAAATAAATTCCTTTTGTCAGAAAACAGGGATAAAAATCGTGTCAGAAACTTGGAAAGGCGAACCCGTTAACAGAAGATCTTCGATGAAATCCATATTTTCGATTTAAATGCAGATTCCGTAAGTTACAGCATGAACAATGAATGCACGCGGTGTATGTTTGGTCGCCTATAAAACAATCGTGCATTAATAGACAAATCTTTTATTAATAGGGATCATTAATGAACGATTTCATATACATTAAACTTAGTCGTTGATACGAGGTCTACGGAAAATAACTATAAGACACTCTAGTGCGTGATCGATCAGAAAATTCGACAAATAATAATAATGTTGCTCATAAATAGCAATACTACTTAGAATACTTTTTGACATCAATTTCATGGATTCGCGTTTTTAAATACTGAAGTTGACTATGATTTTGGTTGAAATATATACCAAAATTGTCTGCATTTTTGCATTCGCAATTTCCTCACAGTCTTCCGAAGATGTTTGATGGGATATAGTTCAAGATATCAAATTAGTTCCTTAAATAGCTGACTCGTTTCAGAGTTTTTTTTTGTTTCAAGGTATTTTTCAACTGTTCGTCCTTATTTTCTTTGATTTTTTTCTGTATTTTTCATCGTTCTCTATTAATAACTTTCGAATTTTTGCATATTTTCTCTATGAATTTTCGACAATTTCTCATTTGCGATCTTGAATAGGTACAGTTAATTTTATCTTGGCATTCTTTTTCAATTTCTTATAAAAATTGTTCAGAATTCGATGAAGAATGTCTTCGGTAATCTTTCTGATGATAGAAATGGAGGCTCCGCATTTTCTTTCAATTCAATGGTATGTTTCACTATCGAATCTTCACTTTTTTTTCAAATAATTCAATATCCTGTACGTTCATGAACTGTCAGTTCCCGCCATATAGGTCGCGTGCACGATGACTGACCCTAGAGGCAAAATATTGAAACACAACCTCATTCTTTTGTAAATTATTGAAACACAACCTCACTTTTTTATTTGGTTACAGAGTAATCAAAGGATTGAAATAGTTTTTCACAATATTTTGGCATACGAATCGTGTTTTTTGCGCTATTCATTAATTCAAGCATGCCTTCGCATTGTGCTGTTGTACAATGCACAAAAAGGGAATATGATTTTTCAGGTGTCCTTATTAAAATTTCGTCTGCCTTCTGCCACTTCTGCAATACAAGCTATAATACTCTGCTAATAGATTGAAAATGTCTACAACACACACGATCGTCAGCATGTCAGACCAGGACCTCCCGATTGATTGCATGAATCCAATCTTCTTGCATTATTCTAGAAATTTCAGGTATATTTCTATTAGCTCCTATTGCAGAAGGAATTCCGATGAGAAATCAGAGAGATAACCAAATTTCAAAAATGAAAACTATATGTGCCTATAGTAGGTACTTACTTTTAAATCATAATGTACCATCCGGATTCCTTCATCGTCCGCTGCAGTTTTTGTACATCTTACAACAGCACAATGCGATGGCATGAGCGAATTGATCAATAGCGGAAAAATACGATTCATATGCCAAAATAATTGTGGAAAACTATTTCGATCACTTGTAAACAAATAAGAAAAGTGACGTTGTGTTTCAATGTTTTGCCTCCAGCGTCGGTCATCTGACAGTTCTTGCACGCAACAATACCCATATTGGTCATATTTCGAATTTTCTAGGGTTATGCCTTCTATCACTGCTTGTCATAGTGCACGAACTCATATTACATCAAATCTGTCAAATACATACAGGGACTGACAGGGGACTCGAAATCGACTTGACATTCTTTTTTTTGATCATTGGTCAATTGTTTGCTGTGAAAAGTATCGTTGAAAAACTGTACAGGATTTTAAAGCTTCATTTTGTTTATCAGTGGAGTTGAAATAAAACTCTGTTTTGAATTTCCAACTTTGACACCCTGCATGTTATTGAACAGGAGGTCCGAAATGAATAATGACATTGAAATAGTCACATTAAAATAATATTGTCTGTATAGGTCAATCTATGAAGAGGTATATATTTTATCTCACAGTAATGACAAAAAACATGAGTAGGCACAAAAGATATTTCGTCAAATCAAACTCAGCTGAACATATCTCTACTTAAAATAAACAACATATCTCTACTCGAAATAAACAACATCCCAGGCAACCAGATGACGAATGATCAGGTCACTATGACGTACTTTTTATGACGTGATAATCACGTCATCGTTTCGACGTCGAGTGAACGTCATTTAGATGAGTAAAAGAAGACGTCCTGTCGACGTCCATTTCTCCCAGACCTTCTCTAATCCATGGATACTTATATATTATCATGAAAACAGAAGTATAACTCATGAAAGCAAATCAACATGCAAGTTTTATTGGAATTATTAATATACCCGAAAAGTAGAAGAACATTTTTTCCAGAAACTTTGACACTGTTTATGTTTATACACAGATGTTTAGGTATACCTATATTGAAACCGTTAATCTTTTGACGTGGCAGTGATGTATCTATGACGTCTGAAAATCACGTCGGTGTGACGTACCAATTTGGTGAGCTTCGTCATTCAGGGAATTTTTCAATAATTTGCTATTTAGATTTTTGTTGGGTGACAGAGAATGCATCAATATACATACAAATCCGCCAACATCCTTTCCATTGCTATCAAACTATTCTCTGATGTTTGCTTACACTACATAATTTTTGATAGGTACAAATACGAGTAATTGATTGCATTCTGATGGAGATGCGTACTGAAGGATAGCGCTGCTGAATAGGCGATTGAATGAACATGACAGAAACCCACCAAAGCAGACTCAACAATGCATAATCAATATTATATAATGTCATCAGAGGCCAGTGGTGTTTATCACACCATGTTGAAGACATTTTTTTTACGTACCATCGCCAAATTTAATCGTCATTATGACGTCAGTCGGACGTCACAGTTTGGTGAGTGAATGACATCAATACGACGTGAGTAATATGACGTCATTGAGCTGTGACTCATTCACATCATTATCACGTCATGCGACGTCAATTACGTAAAAAAGACGTCACTGGAACGTCATCTGGTTGCCTAGGATATGGTGGAGTGGACTGAAATTATAGGAATGAGAGCGACGACATAAACCAAAGAGAAAAAGTAAAGAATTCGCTTGCATCTTTCTGAACGGAGATGGTAACATTGTTTCCTGAGCATTGAAATGCTATTCAATTAGCAGAACCACCTCTCTCTGTAACTCATACACTTTCCTGACAACTTTCGTCACTGAGAAAGTGGCAAAAGACGATAACGAAAAGATTCACTCAGGATTAATTTACTTTTATTTGTTGAAAACGAAAGCAGATTCGTTCCAGGAACGTCCATAGATAAGTGAAATTATTTATTTTGCAATGTTCCTACATCCTTTGAACATTTTTCAAAGTATCACTCACTATAACAATAAACAAATTATTTAAAAAAAAGTTGACAGTCGCGTCATTTGTCAGTATGTCATATGTAGGTATGTTTAGTTTTCTGAGCCACCCAGGACAAAAATAATAAGTGATTTCTCTATTATTTAATAAATGGTAAATAAATTATTACAGGTATAAATAAAAACGTCCAATATCTGTTTCAGAAAAGTGAAATATTTGAGGTAGGAATTCCTTCTTTAATGTTCCTTTTTATACTTTCTACCACTTCTTGGCCTGTATGTGTTCCTCCTATATCAGGGGTGTGGATTTTTTCTTCTACTAATGTCTTATAGATAGCTTTCTTGATTAGACGAGCATGGTTTTTCTTTCCTAGATGGTATAGTAAGTTGATGGATGCGTTCAGCATAGCCACAGGATTCACATACCTACTGTCTGAAACAGAAATATTTGTGCTCATAACGCTCAAAGTATATGTATATTGTATGTTGTTATAATCGATCATTTATTCTGATCTATCTGAAATATTTTTAGTCCTCCAGTTATACAGAGTGTCCAAAAGTTGGTGTTGAATATTTCGTAATATTTGCCTAAATTTGGTTGTATTATCACTCAGTAGAAAAATAAAGAGACATTGAAATTGAGACATTGATTGAGAAAGTGTGGTTGTCATTGACCTATAATTTGATTTTACTATACAAAATAGTTCCAATTTTATCACAGAGTTGGCATCAATGTTCTTATATTCATTTTTTTCACACGGTTGGATTTGGTCTTTTATTGAAAAAAAATACCGCTATAGTGGATTTCAAGAAAACATTTGTATCTCGCAATCCGTGCAAAAATTGAGAACCAAATTTATGGAACAATCAGCTGGAAGCCCAATGGGGAATAGTAATGAATATAGAGTTGTAGGTGTACTTTAAAAGTGTTTAAAAGTGTTTAGACTTTAGACCAGTAAATGCTGAACAGGAATTATGGAGACGGATTCAGAAAACACTGAATATTTTCAAAAATATTGCAGAAATAATGCAAAATATTCATTTCAGTTTTTGTGTCAGTGCATTGGACCACTTATTTTCCAATTTGTTATCATCTTGAGTAGGTATTATCAATTTTTTTTATCATGTTATATAGGTACTTTATATAGGTTTCATCCATAAACTATGTTTGAAATGATAATTGAATTCAACAACCTATCTTCTGCTGAATACGCATAGCTGTAGGTATACCGGGTGTCCCAGTAGACCTGTTCCAATAGATTTTCTCAGCCATTTCAAAAAATGAAAATTTGAAAATTACATGATCTACTACAATTCTAATAATTTGAAATTATTATTGAAGTCAAAATCAAGGTTACAAAAATATCGTAGCTAATTTTGAGTAGAAATCAAAAATTGCAAAAAATATACGGTCAAACCGGAAGTGACTTTCAATTTTTGTTTTTCTCAGTTGAAGCTTCCTTGAACGAATTGGAGATCAAGGAATTTTCAAATTTTTATTTTTTGAAATGGCTGAGATAATTCATTGGAACAGGTATACTGGGACATCCGGTATATGTCCAATATATGGACATTATATGGATGTCCATAATAAACACCGAATGGATGTCCATCATGGATTCAGAATGAATGTTCATAATGAATAACGCATGTTTATTCTGAAATGTGGAATGCTGATATCCTATTGACATCCATAGGATGTCCCTCGGGATGTCCTGTGTACACAATGTGCATGGTTATATCCTATCCTGGATATTCAGGATGTCCTGTTGAGGATATCCATCGAATGTTCAATGGATGGAGGTGTGCATTAGGGTACTGTTATTTTGATTTAACGGTATTCAGATGACAATTGAAAAATTACTGTTAACATCCCCCGTCGGTACAATATTCAACCTCATTTGTTATTTCCAACATATCAATGAAGGTCATCACAACTAGTGAATACTACGTAAGAGTAGTTGTCATTGCGTAATCTTGACTTCAAAATAGGTACGACCTTCCCTTCTAACAATACGAGGACCCGAATATATTATGCTGATGTGATATCACCAAAAGATAATGATATAAATGTGACCTATATTAGGGACATCAATTGAAAACAAGCTAATGATGTTATACTGACGTGAAATCGATGACATGATCCCTAATATGTGATTTGCACACATTCTGACTGTTCTGTGGTTCCTGTTTGTTTCATAATAACCTATAAAAATAATAACTTCTACGACATGCAAGAAGAAGTGTCAAAATTTATTGTACAGATTCAAATGAGCCAACTAAGTAGGTATGTTGAATAATTCAACATACAACACTTACAACAGTGATGTTGATGTTCCCCTTTGGTTTCAGTGAGCCAGCAGAATAATATGTGATATGAACTCATTCTTCAATGGTCTCTATGAGGATAGAGGATATTCATGGGTAGTTTTTTATATATTGCAGATCATGAAATGGTTGATTATGAAAAAAATATCAAAAAATTCAGTTCCGAAGATCATTGTGCAAAGAGAAGGCAGGATATGATAAATAAAATTCCTATCAAATCTTTACAAGAACTTACTAATGGTAGTGGTGGGATCAATGAGGAAAACGTGTTGTTCATTTATATTTATGTGCATGCGCCAGATATGCTCTTATTAATACATAAAATTGGTTGAACTGAAAACATCCATTTGCTGATGATTTGTTGCAGATAAGGTTATATGTAAAACATTTTGGTTTCGTATTTTGTTGTGTGTGATTATGTTTTGCAAATGATGAATAATTATTAATAATATTGTTGAATCCTATAACCTATTGCTCCTAGGTCAGTAACATCTCAGTGAGATATTTCTGTGGTATCGTGATGAGATAATCCTCTGACGTCGCGGTGCAATATTGGTTCACCATCCAAACGAGTATGACAAAAGTACTTCCCCGTCGTGACGTCTACGCAACTACCTGATTCAATGTCGCAGTACTCATGGCGATGTATCAGAGATGTTCATTTGATATCGCATTGCCAGCTGGGTTTGCTATGTAATTATTCATTACACTATATTGTCTACTTTCCTACCTACCTTCAAACGAAATATGCCTTGAAGCAACTTCAAATACAGCACTGGTTTCGCCATAATTTTGTCCTGAAAATAATCCTGGACCACCTATCAGTCCGCAAATTATATTTGTTACGATATTCCCATATAGATTAGGTGTTAAAATGAGGTCGAATTCTTGTGGTTTCGAGACGATCTGCATACAACAGTTATCAACGATCAGGTCGTTAACTTCAAATTCAGGGTATTCTTTCGCCACTTCTAATACTGTTTTCAGGAATAGTCCATCTGATAATTTCCTGAAACAATATATCATACATATATAGTAGAAAGAAAAACTCTTATTCATCTACACAATTAAGTTTATACCCTAACAACATCAGTACATCCTAGGGACTTTCCAGGGACGTCCCTGATTTTATACTAGGACATCCCAGGGATGTCCTTTGTCGAGACAACGTACATACTAGGGGTGTCCCAGGGACATCCGCTGGCCACAAAAAAGGCATCCAAGGGATGTCCTTCTGGTACGTCCCTGGGATGTACCAAGTACGATGAAAGGATATCCCTAGGACGTCCCAAGGATATCTCAGGGACATCCTTTCGACAAAAGAAAAGTTGTAGGTCGAGTAGGGATTGAAACCGGGACCTTTGGCTTATCATGCACGCACCTTGCTCCATTGGCTATATCATGCCTCGTGAAGAATTATGTACTAAACAGATTTATAAACAGGACTTAACTACAGAAACCTGAATGAATACAACTTTGTTAGGAATTGGGTATAATTATCATCATTCTTGGGTGTTTAAAAATGAGGGGCATTATGCATGTACGATTTCTGTCTGCGAAAAATGGTAATTTCTTAAGAAGTTCTGAGACATCATTCTTTATTTTTATTACAATCATTTTCCGGAAGAAAAAAAAACATTTTCAAAAAAATTCAACTCAATAATTTGATGAAATTCAATGACTCTGATGTGAATGGATATCAGATACTCCAGGGACACGAACAGGATAACCTAGGGATGTACCGGGCGGAATGTCCACTGGACAACCACTGCAGGATATCCCCTGGATGTCCCATTCATGTCCTTGTACCGCGGGACAAAAAAGGGACGTACCTAGGACATCCCTGTGTTGTTAGGGTATTCTATCGCGAATATGGTGTGCGATACTTGATGGTGTCTGTGAATCAAAAGCAAGGGTAATTACCCCGGCCTGATGGATATACTCACATAATATTGGCTTTATGCACAACAGTGATTTTTTTCCGACCTTGTTTTCTTGCATAATCGAATGCCCATCTAGCAAATCTATCCGTGTTAGTTTTGGTTATAACTTTCAGGCTCTCCACAATTCCTGGTTTCGATTCGTGCTCTAGCATTGCATATTCACCTTCTGTGTTCTGCCTGAATACGCATATATCTAGACCCGGAATCCTGAAACATATGTATGGTTTAACGAAATGCTGAATGCATAAAACACCAAACACGTTCTTAGGAGTTATATATCTATAGGGTTGTCATCTCTGGAATGTGAAAACCAGGACGAATCTACTTGAAAATCCAGACTAAATCTAGACAGGGAATTTTGAAAACTCGAATAATTTTATGAAATTCCAAAAATATACCTTCATATACCTACATATAAATTCAAAAGGTGAATGGTCAATATCAGTATAAATGGGTAATAATGGTATATTTGTTGCACATACCGAATAAAAACTCAAAAATATTTTTAAAACAAAGAATAAATTCGCAATCAACAGTTTGAAACTAAACTAAGTCACATAAATGATACCAAATCTATAAATATTCAATTTTTGAGAAAACTTTCACTGACGCGATAGTAAGTTTATGTCAGTTGTGGGACCTGACGAAAATCCGGACAATTGTCAAAACCCGCCCGGACGTCCCCAGTCGCCCCTAAAACCCGGACATATCCGGGGAAATCCGGACGGATGGCAACCCTATATATATCTAATAAAACATAACAGTTCAAAAATTTACTTAATCATGATTCATCGATTGAAACAGGTTTGGACGGATTTTTTTCCTCAGTGGTTTTCAAGTTGTAATTCCAAGTTACGTAATGGTTCTATAGCTCTCAAACTTCAAAATATAAGTTACCTGCATTCAATGTTGGGATAGCTTTTGCAATGGACCAGATACACGTAGAGATCCAGATGAGATCGGAAGGTAACGTTGGATGTGGTGTCAGCCAATGAAGGAATATGGCCCTTAGGATAAAATACATATATAGTTAGACTATGAACTATGGAATGCATGATAACAATAAGCAAATGGGCTATATTTTTGAAAGACTAGTCGCACCCTTTCAATTTGAATAATATTATAAGTCGTATTTTAGGGAGTCGTTATAGAGAAACTGGTAGATCGTCACATATCAGAGATAGATCACTGAGCAAACTAACACTCAGTGACTTGCGATTCGCGGGGTACCGCCGCGGATTTTCATCAACTATACATAGAGTTGAGGGAGTTTCAGTCCATAGTCCTACAGACCGTGAGCCCACAACGTGTTTCATTTGTTCACACTCATGGTGGATTTATGCACGCACTGCTTTTTCATTATTCTGTTGCTTTCATTAACTGTCATCAAGTTTATTTTTATTCAAGGATTATGATACCTTTATGCACCACCTTTTGATTCGGAACTCTTCTTCTTCTTGATCAAAACATAGTCTTATTCAGAGTAATCAGAATGAAGAAAATAGTGATACACTACACTGTTTTACCACAAACCAAACCGATTTTTTAACGGCCCGACACGTGTTTCGCTAACTATGTTAGCATCTTCAGGAGAAGATTAAATGTTTTTATTAAATTAAATTAAAATTAATTAAATTAAATAGTGATCACATAATTACAATAAGAATCATTCATTCATATTGTTTTCAGTCTAATTTGAACGTATCACTAGAACTTTTAGAAATTTTAACCACATTTTGGAAAAAGAAGTGGAAGAAATTGTTCGTCTGACTTCTGACAAAATCGCGCCTGCGCAAGTCATAGTTTCATTTGTATTTGTCGTCAAGAGATAGAAGTTGGCAATCTTTTATCGAATAGTTGATGAAAGATAAAATTCACTTCAGGTGCATAAATGAATGAATGGGAATACCAAGTTTAACCTTATTAGTTAAATCGTTAATGATTGTGAAATTACAGATTAATGAAAAAGCTTTGTGCAAAAATCCGCCTTCAGCAGTATAAGAAGAAGAATCCCCCAAATTCCACCTTCGATTACACGGATATGAGCTCGCCGAATAAAAATCGTGGACCAAAGGGTGGTGGCCGCGTGGGTGGAGTTGTATAAAAAAACCCGGGGTCTCGAATACTTTCCTATTGTTCGGCATATGTCGCTATAAGTTACTGTAATTGAAAATAAAGTTTGAGCGGACGGCATTGCCTCACGTGCAGGCTGGATACGATGCGCAGTGGCGCTGTATATTGTTGTGAACAATTCTCAAATAAAATTTATCATTCGTCAATGTTGGGCATCTTGTCAGCGATTATTCACAAAAACTCAAGATAATATGATCACCGAACATTTTGATTGGATCGGGGGCAGCCACCCCCGCGTACTTTTATCTTGTGGGTGTAGATATAGAGGCAATGCTGTCCGCCTAAACTTTTTTCTTATCTACTTTAACTTGCAACATACGCCGAACGGTAACAAGAAATGATTCGAGACCCCGCAGTATAAAGGCTCCACCAAATACCTAGGAGTTATTCTTGATTCATTCTCAATTGAAAAAAGCACATCGAGAGGAAAATCCAGAAGGCAACGGCAGCATTCTAGGCGTGCAGGAGGAAGTTTGAGTAAACGTGGGGGCTCAAGTCCAGTATCCTTCATTGGTTGTATACCGCTCTCATACGTCCCATGATAACGTATGGGGCCGGGGACGCTGAGGCTGAGGCTAGTTGAGGATTCAGCTGGACAGAACCCAAAGACTGACCAGCATATCTACAACCCAGCGAGCACAAAAACATCTCAGAGATGTTAAAAGTACGAGATTTCGAGACATTGAACCTCCACTGCGATGTTCTGTTCACACATGAATAAACTATTATAGAACAGCCAATGTCCGCCGCAGGCGGCAATTATCGAGATGTCCTTGATATGTCACAAAACTACCTTCTCCCTAGTTCTTTTTAAAGCCTTTTCATGGACACAACAGAACATTTTCAACGCGTCTTGCGCACATTAAATCGCTGTAAAAAAACCATTTTCGAGGTACTTTTCTGAAGCCTTTTGTCAAAATGAACTTTTGCATTAGGATTCCATTTCCCTTGAATGAAAAAATGCATTAAAAATAGATTGAACATAAAAATATTTTCTTGATATGAAATTACCTTCTTAATTGGTTTCTGAGTAGTCCTTACTACACACAGACATATATTTGGAAATAGGTTTCCCAACTTTTGAAATGCTCTCCACAATGCATAATTTTGCAACTGCGGAGAAGCTGTGTATTGATGAATTCGTACTTTTACATATTGATTACACTGAGGCACCGAACAACACATCTTGCATCTGATGGTCATTATTACAAACTAAATAAGGCTTCCAACACAATAAACTTCACCAAATTCCTTTCTGTTCGTTAGCAGCGTGATGCAAGCGTGACACGCTGCAAACGCGAATGCCAATTGCGAACAAGAAGAACAAAATCGAAAACAAATCAGAATTCATCGTATTGTGACGTAAGCATGAGACGTTGTGGTGGGGCAAACAAAGAAAGGGCACAAAAGAACAAAAACAATACTTTCAATATCCTTCTAAGACCTCTTTGGGAAGTGCGTATTACGCCTCAAATAAACATCCTCATGCCTACATTTCTAAAACATCCCAAAACATCCCAGGGATACCTCTCAGTAGGCAAACAAAGAAATGCCACAGAAGAACAAAAACAATACTTCAATATCCTTCAAAGACCTCTTTGGTCAGTGCATATTACGTCTCAAAATAACATCTTCATGCCAACATTTTCAAAACATCCCAAAACATCCCAGGGATGTTTGTGCTCGCTGGGAAGGTGTCCCGAAATTACATAATGGTAATGAAATGGGGGCGAAGGGCTCAGTGATCGGTCCAGAGTCATTCTTGAGGGTCACTCGATCCTGGAGCAACTTCACTATGAAGGAAATCCTGATGAAAAGGTTTCGATCAGGACAGCTGATGGAAATCCGCCACGAAGGAGTTGAAACTGGTGGTGGGGCTTCTAACAGGGCAAATCTCAACAAGATCGGGATTGTGGAAGATCCTGAATGCAGATGGTACTTGGATGGAGAGACTACTACTCACATCCTCACTGAATGCCCGATAGCAGTGGCAGCAAGTAATATGCATCTTGGGGGCGGTATCCTGAACTCAGATGCTAAAGGATAAATATATAGGATAGAGATTTGGCCTAGAAAGATGGTATCTTCCGCTAACGAAATCGCCCTTCTCCATGGTTGACTTGTGTTCCCAGGAATTGCGGGTGCACAATGGGCCCAAAATGGGTGGCCTAACGGCGTCAGTATAGGTCCCGGACCGCCCACACACATACACACAAATTACATTACATCACCCCCCTACACCCCTATTACCCCCCTACCCCTGTGAATAATCAGCCGGCGCTTGACCGGTATCAATGGTGATGGCTCGATTATGACATGGATTATATATCTGTACAGGGTGATAACTGAATGAAACCTTCACTTTCTTATTCAAATAGAGACACCAAAGTGTTTCAAGGTTCTGTCGAAAAAATTTAATAGGCGATAGTATTCGCAAAAATGAATAGAAAATATCTTGTATGCTTCGTAGCTCAGTTTTCTAGATACAAGATGTTGACGTTAGGAACACCATTTGCCTATCTGCAATTTTCTAACGCCTCTACACGTGTATCGCTAACTACGTTTTAGCATCTCCTGGAGAAAATTAAAACTAATATCCTATTACCTAGAATGCCGTTTATCTGTTATACCTACTACGTAGGTTCTCCTAACCGTGGAAGACACTACCCAGGCGACCAGATGACGAATGATAACGTCACTAGCTGTGACGTCCCTAATTGGTGATTTTCCGTCAGAGACGTCACACACCAATTTATGATGTCAGTTTCATAACGTTGCAGGGACGTCCTGTCGACGTCCATTTTTCCCAGACTGTCTCAAAGCCATGTATACTTACATTATCATGTGAAACCGTTAGTATGGGCATTTTCAGTGTTGAAAGGTATTCAGAAACTCGTTTTTCCTTAATTTTACACACATATATAGAAACATGTAAATGGCTTGGTAATTTTATATATAATATGCTGCTGACGTTAATAGAAGTATATGACTCATTGAACTAAATCAACATGCAAGTTTTAATGACGTCTAAGAATCACGTCGGTGTGAACGTACCAATTTGGTGAGTCATTCGCGACATTTTCCAATAATTTGCAATTTAGATTCTTCTTGGGTGACAAAGAATGCATTAATATACTTTAACAAAGTGAAGCTAAATTCGCCAACATCCTTCTCATTGCTATCAAACTATTCTTGGTTTGCTTGCATCTCGCCGACACAAACTACATAATTTTTGATACAAATACGAGTAACTGATCTCATTCTGATGGAGATGCGTACTGAAGGATAGCGCTGCTGAATAGACGACTGAATGGACATGAAACCGGAGGGACCACGGAGCAAACTCAACAATGTATAATCAATATTATATATGTCATCAAAGGTTATGGTGTTTATCACACCATGTTTCTGGAAACTTTTTTACGTATCATCACCAAATTTGAACGTCATTTTGACGTCATTTCGACATCAGTCCGACGTCACAGTTTGGTGAGTGAATGACGTCAATAAATGTGAGCAATATGACGTCATTGGGCTGTGACTTATTCATGTCATTTATCCTGTCATACGACGTCAACAACTGACGTCACCTTGGTCATTCAACTGACGTAAAAATACGTCACTGAAACGTCATCTGGTTGCCTGGGTAACGAAGCCGTAAATGTCTGCATGGTTGGATTCTTTTGTCAATCCCAACCCTAAATCATTGAACTAGGCAGAAGGCTTTATGGAAGAGGTAGGTAGTGTAGTAATAGAGTTATGAATAAGGATAATGGGTTTATTCCATATAGTCCTCTGTGTAGTTTTAGTGATTTAGGATGAGCATTACCATGTGAGTCCAACCATGACAGATATTGGCTGCGCGGTTAGTGTTTTTCACGGTTAGGTGAACATATCTCCTGAAGATGCTAACATATAGTTAGCGAAACACATGTCGAGACGTAAAAAATCGGTTTGGATAGTGGTGACATAGTTGCGAGCAATAAACATACCAGATGAAATGTTCTATCTTATATATCTCCTGAAGATGATAACATATATAGTTAGCGAAACACATGTCGAGACGTAAAAAATCGATTTGGATAGTGGTGACATAGTTGCGAGCAATAAACATACCAGATGAAATGTTCTATCTTATATATCTCCTGAAGATGATAACATATATAGTTAGCGAAACACATGTCGAGACGTAAAAAATCGGTTTGGATAGTGGTGACATAGTTGCGAGCAATAAACATACCAGATGAAATGTTCTATCTTATATATCTCCTGAAGATGATAACATATATAGTTAGCGAAACACATGTCGAGACGTAAAAAATCGGTTTGGATAGTGGTGACATAGTTGCGAGCAATAAACATACCAGATGAAATGTTCTATCTTATATATCTCCTGAAGATGATAACATATATAGTTAGCGGAACACATGTCGAGACGTAAAAAATCGGTTTGGATAGTGGTGACATAGTTGCGAGCAATAAACATACCAGATGAAATGTTCTATCTTATATATCTCCTGAAGATGATAACATATATAGTTAGCGAAACACATGTCGAGACGTAAAAAATCGGTTTGGATAGTGGTGACATAGTTGCGAGCAATAAACATACCAGATGAAATGTTCTATCTTATATATCTCCTGAAGATGATAACATATATAGTTAGCGAAACACATGTCGAGACGTAAAAAATCGGTTTGGATAGTGGTGACATAGTTGTGAGTAATAAACATATCAGATGAAATGTTCTAGTTGGAAACAACAGGCCCCTGAACAATTATTGAATCCATTCATAAGTAAAGGTACAACATAATAGTTATTTATTATACAAGGGAAAAAAGTAGTAGATTTTAGCTCCAGGTTGTGTTGTCTCCCGACGCGTAGCGGAGGGAGACAAAAAACCGTGAGCTAAAATCTAATATTTTTCCCGTGTATAATAATATATTTTTCGAAGGTATTAAAAGCATGAATAATTGTTGAATACTTACTTTAATTGCAACCCCATTTCGTTTAACTGATTTCAATGCTATGTCATCTGAATCTTCTTTTTCTATTATTTCAAAATCAATTGGAACATATGCTGCTCTGTATACATCTTTCACATACTCCATCATTTGTGGCCCAGAACCAATTCCTGTATAAAATAACGAAACTCACGAATATTTTGCAATTATTTGTATCGTATTTATCGTAGATAATTAATTATGTATGTATACATAGGTTCTTCTTGCACTTTTTGAGCTTCCGTAAGTTATATAGGTACCTACTATACAGTGTGTCCCACTTACCATGCTCACCATGGGTATCTTTTTAACGGTGAGAGATACGAGGTCGGTTAAATGACACCAAATGTGGAGTTTGTCAAGGCCAACTATAATGTGAAAAAATATTTTGATAAAATCTATTCGTTTTTGTTTTATAGGCAAAAAACAGATTTTGATCATTTTCATGTCTCCTCGGTAACTTCTTTATTTATGAAAATATTCAAATAGGAATTTCACATTCTCATGGCAGTTTTTCAAAGTGATGTCGAAAAAAATATGAAATTTATACCAACTCTTCTAGAATTTGAGATATCAGCACCAACTTTAGTTTTCCAGATGTAGGTCATAGCTCACTATGACTTAATTACAAATAACTTTCTCTTCTCCTACAGATAATATGTCGCAGTAATAGTTTTGTGTGTTGATAACAACGGAGTTATCGTCATTTATACAAAAACAAAAAAAATATTCGGAAGCCGCCATCTTGAATTTATACATTTTAACAAAAAAATTATGATCTCCGACCTCAAAAACCCCCACTTACCAATTTTGAATGGAATCGGACCAAATATTGTCCGCCATCTTGGAGCAGCCATTTTTTTTATTTCAAGTGAATTTTTTCCCACTTGGTCGTCCGATTATTTTGAGATTTGGTAGGTGTTCATAATTTTGGTGACAATACATTATGGAATTTTTCTTGAAATTAAAAAAAATGGCTGCTCCAAGATGGCGGACAAGATTTGGTCCGATTCCATTCAAAATTGGTAAGTGGGGGATTTTGAGGTCGGAGATCATGATTTTTTTGTTAAAATTTATTAACTCAAGATGGCGGCTTCCGAATAATTTTTTGTTTTGGTATAAATGACGATAACTCCGTTGTTATCAACACAAAACTATTACTGCGACATATCATCTGTAGAAGAAAAAAAAGTTATTTGTAACTAAGTCATAGTGAGCTATGACCTACATTTGAAAAACTGAAGTTGGTGCTCATATCTCAAATTCCAGAAGAGTTGGTATAAATTTCATAATTTTTTCGAAATCACTTTGAAAAACTGCCATGAGAATGTGATATTCCTATTTGAATATTTTCATAAATAAAGAAGTTACGGAGGAGACATGAAAATGATCAAAATCTGTTTTTGCCTATAAAACATTAACGAATAGATTTTATCAAAATATTATTTCACATTATAGTTGGCCTTGACAAACTCCACATTTGGTGTCATTTAACCGACCTCGTATCTCTCACCGTCAAAAAGATACCCATGGTGAGCATGGTAAGTGGGACACACTGTATATAGTTGAGATCCCACGGAAACCTATTATCACTAACACTCATGTGAAAAACTTCACAAACGATGAGACTACCACAAAATTCATCATCTCACACTTCAGTGAAGTTTTTTTACCTTCACTATGGATTCCCATCAAGTAGTAATGATTATGTATAAACCAAACAAGGACAACACTTTATGTGATTCAGATCAAATTCAATTTTTTATATACCTTTGTTATAATTGTTTGTTTCTTTCGTTCAATTTTGTTTATTTGTTTTGTATTTATGTTATTCATTTTTACTATTCGTTCCTGTTTTTTATATACTCAAATATAATAATAAGTACCTATGTATAACTGTATCTTGTTTTACGACGCTATACCTATATAGTGGAGTATACTACGGCCTTGCCAAAAATGCTATCTCGGAGACTAAGCGAGATAGAGGTATAGTTACTCTGAAGAAAATGATCCCCATCGAATTTTGAGCAACTTTGGTTTTTGTGTGGTCTGTCTGTCTGTACTCTGTGGTAATCATAAATCGATATATCTCCGGAACCCTTTGACATATCGACTTGAAATTTCCCCATCTTATTGTACTCAAAACAATATCATGTCATTAAAATATGAAGGAAATCGGAAAACTCTGAGGTGGTTTTTCCGGGTTTTTTCGATTTTTCACCGGAAGTTTTTTGTAACCACTCTACAAATCGCAAAAGTGGTCCGATCGATTTCATTTTTTGTGAAAAAAAAACTCTATCAGGGAGAGACCAAGCCTATTGAAATTGAGCAAGGTCGGAAAATTCCAAGTGGGTTTTTCAAGGAGAATTTCCGAAACACACGGTTCGCTTTAAAACGACATATCTCCTAAACCAATAGACTAAATCCAAATTTGAAAAATGCACCGTATGCTCCTTTGATGACGCAACAAATTATTATATTATATTTTCGTGCATCCATCGGAAAATGGAAAAACAAATGAAAATCAAAACATCAGAATTTGAAATCCTTTCAACTCAATATATATCGAAAACAATATCAAAATATGCTCATGATATAGTGCCATGGTCTCTACTTCCATCTTACATGAGCAATGATAAAATATCATCTGCTTTTATAGCGTCGTATAAATTATCTGACCTCTATACTAATCTAATACCTAATGAAAACTACATCTATACTAATCTGATACCTTTCAAAAACTACGAACTTCACTTGTGATATTTGTGAGTATTTTTGAATTGGGAATTAGGAATATGATTAATATACAATATGTGTAAGAATGTTTGTTTTGTTTGTTTCTAATTCGTTGGAAATAGGTTACTTTTCTGTTTAATAAAAGTACATAGATGTTTTGAAGTCATATATGTTTATTTCATTATCCTATTTATCGAAATCTACTGAATTTTCGACAAGGTATTTACTGATGGAATAAAAATCGAAATGGCAACCCTGGTCCGCGCGGAGAGTGCGACGACCAACTGTCATATATGCTGTTTTCAAATTGATCATTCACGGATAGATTTTACGTGCAGATAGAACCGTGATGTGAATATGAGTGTTTGAGGCTGACGAAAAATTGTAATATTATTATGTATTCAATGAATTGATGTTCAAATTGATGTCCATCTTCTCTCAAACACTTTCTCAATACGTCTTAATGCATTAAAAATCATTAAATGTTGTGTTTGTGAGTCCTGAAAGACTGCCTCAGTTGTTGCACGAAGTTCTTCAAGATTTTTGTGCCTCTTACTGTATTAAGACATATTGAGAAAGTGTGTCAATTGTGTGTTAGGAAAAATGGACAGCAATTCAATGAATGAGTTATTTCGAAATTGTTTTAGTCAATATTCAATCAGGTGCTTATTCTATATTATGAACTTTCTTCTCACTATTTATTTGTTGTTATTGGGTACCTGAATTTTGTGTGTTGTTAGTTCATTAGTGTTGGTATTGTTTTTGTCCTATTTATAGAAAAATCTTAAGGAATATTCCTTCAATATAGTTGGAACTTTTTTATGTGAAAAATCCATAGCCCCCTATTAAAATTCAAAGTTGTAGTGATTTTGGAGCATATTTGATAATTTTATATTCATACATTACGTACCATTTTGAAGAAGAAAAAAAGGAATTCGATAAGCTAATGAAATACTCGGTGTTCCATTCAAAAAAACATTAGTTTGAGTCGTATCTCCAAAACCATAACCCAAAAAAAAAAAATTAGTGCACCACTGGATTTTGCGTCAAATTTTCTTGAACGATAAGACTTCAATTTGACATGTTCACTGAGAAACTTCGTAGATATACAGGGGGTCCAAAAAGTATGAATTTTAAAAATCGTCATATGTTTCTCATAAATGGAAACAGTTATGCACAATCTGATTAGGCTATCTTGGGTTCCACAAAAAAGTGGCACAGGACTGCGAAATCCTTATAAGGTTCTATCAACTTATCGACAATAGGTACAAACGAAATAAGTAACCCTTGAAAATATGCCAATATGCTGGCATGTTGAAATTCCTATTCTCTAGGTGAATAAGTTACAAAAAACAAAACAAAATCAACACTCAATTTGCAAGTGAGTATATATGATTTCCTAGAATCACAACAAAAAATTAAAATACGTAGATGGTAGCAGAAACACATGATGAATACTTTCATCCGGGATTTGAAAATGAAACAAAATATAGGTGTTTTTATTAAAAAATATAAGTTGATGGTCGTTGAGGATCGTAACTTATTCTTTGCCAATAATATGTACATGAATTCGTACAATCAGATAAACCGCATCCAAAAATAAAATTCGACATGGTTTTTTCAAAAAACGAACTCCTGAATTGTGAACCATATATAAAGGAACAAATTATATCATTTGAATTTTTCCCACTCACCTGGTAGCATTGTCACTATATGTCTGCCTCCGTAAGTTGGGGGAGGTAAATTATCTGGACCCTCTACATTCTTATTCCGAACGATTCCAGCGAATATGTCAGAAGTCGAAGCAAAGGTTCTGCCTGGATTCTTCACAGTCCGCATCAGTTTCCATGCCACATTATTCATATTGGACGTTACAACAGGTGTAAGTTGTTAATCTGACACTAAATTGACATTATTTGTTTATCATTATTCTCACTTTCTGAGTGGTACCGGCCATGATGTTCTAGAATTATCTCAAAAGGAGAAATAGTATTTGTAAAGTGGGTTATCCAGATAAGAAACCAGGGACGTATTTGCGTTGAAGCATAATAAGTAATTACTTGTCAGTGTAAATCTCCGATTGTTTCACGTGCTTTTTTGAGTCTTAAAATGGTTTGGTATATCAGTTACTTCGACAAAATATAGTTTCTTCAACCTGTCCTGAAGAACATCGAAATCATTGTTGAAGCATTGAAGTAATTAAAATATTTTCTGTTTGGTACAGAGTGACAGATGAACGTCTCATAACCACTGATAATCCTTGAATGCGAATGAAATGTTGATGAATTCTGTATGCATCTTACTTACGAGGTTTTAGTTGACATTTTTTTATCGCTTGGAGCGCACGAAAGGAAATCCCTATAATGTTCAAAGAACATCGAGCGTTCCTAGGGAGGATAGGGACAGGGGGTAGGTGTTGGAATTTTTTTTTGAACTTCTGGAGATTATATGTTGTTGGGAATACTTCCTCAGGCAATGAATTCCAGAGCCTAGCCGTTCTATGGATGAAAGAGTTTTGATAAAGTGCTGTTCGACATCTTTCGAGGTTGACTACGAAAGGATGTGCTGACTGGGCTTGTCTAGTTCGTCTGACTGGTATTGCTAGTGGAGGGATGATAGCAGAGATTTCCGAAGAATATTTTCCGTGGAAGCATCGATAGAAAAGTCAAAGGTCGCCGACCTTTCGACGGTGTTCCAATGATGTCAAAGAGTGAGTGAGTGTGGCGTCACTCACCAGGCGAATGGCTCTTCTCTGGATGGAATCTAAGAGCATCAGCGTATGTTTTGGTGCTGAACCCCATATATGAGAACAATATTCTAGAACAGGCTGTATCTGCGCTTTGTAGATCATGAGAAGCTGCTGAGGTGTAAGATAGCTTTTCGCACGGAACAAGAATTCGAGTTTTTGCGAAGTAGCTTTCGCGATGGATCTGACATGATTATTCCATGAAAGAATGTTGCTGATAGAAATACCGAGCATAGATATGGTGGTCTTGGTGGGGATGGTGGTGCCAGACATTACGATATCGGGCATACTGAGTTCCGCCTCTCCAGAGAAAATACGGGCTTGAGTTTAGGTGGCATCAAATTCAACTAGGTAGGTTGTTGGTTCTCCAGGCTGTGATTTCAGCAAAGTCTTCATTGACAGCATTGACCTGCCTGCGCCGTGAGTTCTTAGTTTCCTGGGAAGAAATGGAAATTCTGGAAGAGAACGCAGTATGGAGGGTACTATCATCTGCAAAGCTGTGGATGGGGCAAGTTGTTACTCCCAACAGATCATTGATATGAAGAAGGAATAATGTTGGTGCCAAACTTGATCCTTGTGGAACGCCGGAATTGATGCCAATTGTATCAGACCATACACCGTCCACCCCCACGTGAAGCGATCTGCCTGAAAGAAAACTCGATAAAAGATGGCATAGCTGAGGTGGTAAGCCGTAGTTTGTGGAGGAGTCCTTCGTGCCAAACACGGTCGAATGCTTTCGATATGTCCAACGCGACAGCTAGAGATTCCCCGTGTTTTTCTAATGAAGCTTGCCATAAATAGGTGACATAGGCAAGAAGATCTCCAGTAGATCTTCGGTGGTGAAAGCCGTATTGTCTATCATTGATGATTCCTGAGCTCTCCAGATATTTGATAAGCTCAATATTGACGGCTTTCTCCATCACTTTGGAGATTACTGATAACAGGGCAGTGGGCCTGTAGTTGTTGGGCAGGTTCTTGTTCCCTTTTTTGGGGATTGGTTGGACTCTAGCTGTCTTCCAGCATGATGGAAAAATACCAGACCTGTACGAGACGGTAAACAACTTGCAGAGAATCGGTGTTAATTCTGGTGCACATTTTTTTAGGATAATGGGTGGAATTCCATCAGGACCGGTTAGCCTTATTCGTTTTGAGACCAAGCAGAATTCGTCTGATAGTGCGTTGACAGAAGACCATTTCGGGCATTCGACTCTCAACGGGTGGAATGTCTGGCAGCACTTTTCCTTGAGAATCTGAAGTAGTTTGCTGCGAACATCTCTGCAAAAATATTTGCTGTCTCCTGCGATGTTGTTGCTAATGTGCTGTCGGATTTGGGCAGTGGTGGAAATGAACTATTAGTGAAATTTCTTCCGACCGCTTTAGCAAGGGACCAAAACGAACGGGAGCCATTGGGACAATCTATGAGTTTCGATCTTGTTTTCGCATTGTATGTTTCTCTCTGAGCATCTATTGTTTGGCTGCAGTTTTTCCTGGCATGAACGTAATCTGCTCTAGTCGCGAGGTTAGGGTTTTTGCGCCAGCGATGCTATGCTGTTTCAAGGCAACAGTTCCAGATCAGTTTTTGTTGAACCAGGGTTTCGATGGTGATGATTTTTTCGAAGAATGAGGTATGTATGAGTCCATTCCGAGCATGATGATCTCGGATATTACCGCAGCACACTGTGAAGGGTCCTCAGAGTCAAAGCATACTCTATGCCAATGAAACTCGGAGAAAAACATGCGGAGACCGTCCCAACCTCCTGAATTGTAATGCCATATAAGACGTGGGGGTGCCGGAGCAGTTGATGGAATGAAAAATGGGCATGTGGAGATGAGTGTGTGGTCAGAATTGACAAGTGGAGCTCGTACATCTATGGTGTAGGGTGATGAATTATTAGTGAGGAATAAGTCAAGTATGTTAGCTGAATGGTTATTTGCATCGGGAATTCGTGTGGGTTTTTTGATAAGCTGCTCTAAGCCGTGAGTGATGGCGAAAGCTTCGGCTTGTCGCCCAGCTTCATCCGTTCTGTTGGAGTGTACGAGCCAAGCAGTGTTGTGTTAATTGAAATCGCCCATGATGATGATTTCTGCTGCTGGATGATTCTGTTGAATTGGGTCAAGTTTCAGAGACAAGGATTCGAAGAGCTCTTCATACGATGGATTATTTGGTGGTAATAAGTAGAGACAACAAAGGTATTTGGTCTCAAACTTATTTGGTTCCAAAGTTTTTTCTCGTTGACATGAGAGATTTATTTTAGAGTAGAGGCAGATACCTCCCTTGAATCTGAAAAGGGTGTGGAGTTCGCACCCAGGACAAAGCAGATAGGTCGTATTGTGGATGAATTGACCTGTGTCTCAGCAAGAGCCAATATGTCTGGCTTTTCAATTTGAAGGTGTCTTATGTTATGTTGATGTTCTTACTTAGACCTCGGATGTTACATAGATCTTGAGGACTTTTTCAGTCGATGGTGAACCCCCTCTAGCACTTCTTGCCCGGAAAACCGAATGGAGAGGTATTTTACTTCCGGATAATTTTACTTGAGGAGAACTCATCATCGCTTATTCTGTGTAGGGAAGGGAGGTTGGCGTGGAAGGAAAGGAACATTGGGTTGGGTTGGGTTGGCCGGAACATCAATCAGCTACTGAAACACGGGTAAGTATACCCATTCCACAGTGCCTATGGTTGATGTGGTGGTATCGCATAGGGCGATGACGTTATTCATCTTCCACCTATTGGCGTCCTTTTAGTCGCCTTCTACGACAGGCAGGACTTACCGTGGGGTTATTCTAATCCGACCACCACACGGACCTGGTAGATTAACATTTACGAAAGGATGAACGACATGACGTCATGCCGTCCATTGAATGTCGTTATTTTTCTCAACTTCAAATTATGTTTTGAAAACTTGAGATATATTTTTTACCCTATTCCATTCGAACGGATGCAGTTTTTCACTGACTACGAAGGTCCTAGTGAAAAATATCGATTTGGTTGAATGTTGAAGGAACATTTTGCACCCATTTTGTTTGCCGAAAGAGGTTATTTTATTGATTTTAGAACTATCGTTAGAATTCCATTGTCTATACAGAAGTTGAATGAATCTGAAACACTCATACAGAAATATATGACAGTAATTTTCTACTGACAATTCAATTCGTGTATAAAAAAATCACTTCACCCGCTTTGATTTTGTAATTATGACAACGAAAAAAGTTTGCACTATTTTTTCCAGCGACAAATACGAAACCATACATCTGAAACCATGACAACCAAAATAGTGAAAATAAGTATCTCGATTTTTCTTAATCTTGCCTTAACAAGAAAGTATCTTTTGAGTTTATTTCGACGAAAAATAGGTGCCATGTAAGTATAAGTGACAATTTAATTCAAGTATAAACAATTCCATAAGCCGCTGTGATTTTGTCATTATGACAGCGAAAATAAATGCTCTGATTTTTCCCGCGATAAATCAACTCCTACACAGAAAACGCTATTTGACGACGAAGTGAGACATTTTGACATCAATAAACAAAGATGCACCTTTTTTATTGCTGATAAACTTCCTGCTCCTTTGATTTAGTAGCTATTTGCGCCTGATGTCACTCCAATTTCTGTCGTGTCAAGTTTGATTGATGGGTATGGTTCACGCGTAAATTAGCAAGATGAGTCGTTTTAGGAAAAATTTGGCTGAAGAAACCACGAAAATATGAGAAAATCAATTCCGCAAACTACCAGTTACACGGAATCATCAATAAAGGTAATCATTTCTGTTGTTTATTTGTATATCGTCGTTAATTTATCTTGCCAAAAAACACTCGAACTTTTTTTTTTCAATTGGATAAATTTCCTTACTAACTCGAACATTTTCCATCAGTTATTTCTCTCGAAAAACTGACATTAGACAAAATTGCTCGACCTACGGTCTCGCAATTTTTCATGTCAGTTTGATCGGCAAATGTTTTTCGTTACCAAGAGAAATTCATCAAAAAAAAAGGTCTTGTGTTTTTACTGTTGACAAAACTGAACCTAACATTTGAAACCATGGCAACCAAAATTGTGAACAAATTGATGGCGTTAATGTAAATTTTTTCCAGTCTTGTAAAGAAACTGTTAGAAGAAATTACTCGTCCTACGGACACGTAAATTTTTTTCGTTTAGTTTTTACGCAACCAAATGTTCGATGAGTTGAATTTAGAGTTGAATTCAGAGTATATAGGGT